TCACCAGAGTAGGTCAGTTCAGGCTGTCTCTCGACCTCTGCCAGCAGTCTGTTGTGTGGGTATCTTTGTGGATTTCTGTGGGCCTCTCTAGCACTTTGCTTCTTCCTATTCTCATGTGGTCTTTATTTACCATGGTCTCCTATTCCTTGTTCTCCCTCTCTGTTGTTGATCCAGCTGGGATCTCCCGCTCCCCCAAGCTCTCTTTCCCTCAACCCTCGCCTTTCATTACCCCCACTCATGTCCAGGCTGTTCATGTAGATCTCATTCCATTTCTCTGTCATTGCGTGATCCCTGTGTCTTTCTTGGGGTCCTGTTTTCCAGGTAGCCTCCCTGGTGATGTGAGTAGCAGACAAGTCATCCTTGTTTCATGTCTAGTATCCTGCTATGAGTGAGTACATACCATGTTTGTCTTTCTGAGTCTGGGTTACCTCACTCAGGATGATTTTTTCTAGATCCATCCATTTGTCTGCAAACCTCATGATGCCATTGTTTTTCTCTGCTGAGTAGTATTCCATTGTGTATATGTACCACATTTTGTTTATCCATTCTTCAGTTGAAGGGCATCTGGGTTGTTTCCATGTTCTGGCTATTACAAACAATGAACACCAGTAGCACAGACTCTGAGACAAACAATCAATCAATGGGACCTCTTGAAACTGAGAAGCTTTTGTAGAGCAAAGGATACGGTCAACAAGGCAAAGCGACAGCCTACAGAATGGGAAAAGATCTTCACCAACCCCACATCTGACAGAGGACTGATATCCAGAATATATAGGGAACTCAAGAAATTAGACATCAAAATGCCCAACAGTCCAATTAAGAAATGGGCTATAGAACTAAACAGAGAATTCTCAACAGAGGAAACTCAAATGGCCGAAAGACATTTAAGGAACTGCTCAACATCCCTAATCATCAGGGAAATGCAAATCAAAACAACTCTGAGATACCACCTTACGCCTGTCAGAATGGCTAAGATCAAAAACACTGAAGACACCTTATGCTGGAGAGGATGTGGAGCTAGGGGAACTCTCCTCCACTGCTGGTGGGAATGCAAGCTTGTACAACCACTTTGGAAATCAATATGGCGCTTTCTTAGAAAATTGGGAATCAATCTCCCCCAAGATCCAGCTATACCACTCTTGGGCATATACCCAAGAAATGCTCAACCACACCATAAGAGCACTTGTTCAGTTATGTTCATATCAGCATTGTTTGTAAAAATTCATACTTTTAACCCGTTGAGTTTTAAAATAAAAATGCCAAGAAAATTCCATGTCAATGTGATTACCCTTTTAAAAATGAACAATTTAACATCTATGTGCAATAAATAATATAAGCTAAGGCCCTAATCTACCCCACCCCCCACAGCACACATATACAAACTGCAAATGGACTGTGGACCTAGATAGAAGAACTAAAACCAAAACTTCTAGAATAAAACAAAAAGAAGTGTTTCATTGTTTGGTTAGGGAAACAGGCCTTAGATGTGATACCAAAGGCGTAATCTCAAACAATAATACTGATGGCTAGTCTCTGATCACATTTCAAACTACAGGCCAGGCATGGGGACGCATGCCTTTAATCCCAGTCCATAGTGAGTACCAGGACGGCCAGTGATATGTAGAGAAACCCTGTCTCAAAAATAGGAAGAAAGAAAGAAAGAAAGAAAGAAAGAAAGAAAGAAAGAAAGAAAGAAAGAAAGAAAGAAAGGAAAGAGAAGGAAGGAAAGAGGGAAACTATGGTGAGATATAATGTCACACTTTCTAGAGTAGACTTGTTAAAATTTAAAGATTATAAATACTGACAAAGATGTAGACAAACTAAATCTTTTTGCTTGTTTTTTTTTTTTGTTTTTTAAATAGCATCTCACTGTCTGGAACTTGCTTGTAGATCAGGCTGGCCTCGGCTCTCAGAGTTCTGCCTGCCTTGACCTTCTCAGTGCCGAGATTAAAAGTGTGCACCACCATGCCCAGATTAAATCTATTATACTTGGTTGCAGGATTATAAAGTAGGGCAATTCAGAATTTCCTCAAAATGGTAAACATAAAGATGACATATGACCCAGCATAATTCAAGAGAAATGAAAATATATGTCCATGGGGGGGGGAGGGGAAGTATACACAAACTGTCCCTATCAGTGTTATTCATAATGGCTAATAATTCAAAGTTAAATGTTTATCAACTGATGAACAGCTAGACAAAATCTGATACATCTGTACAAAATATTAAACATAATAAAGAACTGAACATTGATATGTACAATAACTTGGTTGAATCTTAAATTGTTGTAGTAAGTAACAAAGAATCAAATAGCAAAAGGCCATCTATTATACAATATCACTCATATTATGTGTCCAGAAGAGACAAACCCATAGACTAGACATAGAATAATGGCTTCTATTAGTTAATGACAAAGAAATAGTAAGAAATTATCAATGTGTTTCTTTCTAGAATATTAAAATTAATGAATGTATTTACATAATTTTATATTAAATTATATCTTTTCAAGTTAGTATATATTTTAGAGGACATTAATAAGAAACCATAGGGTTTGGTGATCTTCCCCTATTACATATTTGATAGAGAACTTGTATTCAGAGTATGAGAAGTTTATCAACTCCATAATAAAACATGAAGGTAAGCTACCCATTTAAAATAACCAAATGATTTGATTATACATTTCAACAAAGAAGTCACACAAATAGCAAAATGTACATGGGGGAAATGCTCACCTTACTTAATCATTAGAGAAATGCAAGAAAAAAATCACTATGGAACAGTTCACATCCAAAGGAAAGACTCCAACTATCAAGACACAATACTGATGCCAGCAAACATGTGAAGACACTGGGACCTTTATACTCTTCTGATAGGAATGTGAAATGATACTGACACAGGGAAACAGTTTAACATTTTATTCAAAAGCCAGACAACTTATTGTGTAATCCAAGATTCTACTCAGGAGAAGTAAAAAGCATATATACATACTAACATATTCATATGAATGTTCATGGTAGTAATATTTATAATAGCCAAAAAGTAGAAATAAGCAAATCATTGGTTGACAAATGGATAAATAAAATGAATCTTTTCCATTAAACAGAATACTATTCAGCAATAGTGGGAAATTAATAATCAGCATATACTACAAAAGGATGAACTACACAACCATTCTACTAGATGAAAGAAGCCAGGCACGAAATAAATTCTGTCATGAGTCTGCTTATATGAGACATAGAAAACAAGATTTTACAAAACCAGAGAAGAGAGTGATTGCCTGTGGTTGGAGGTGAGGGCAGCTTTTTAGGTTGAGGAAATAATCTAAACCTGGCTTATAATGATGGATGAGCAACCCTAAAAACCGACCCAAAAAAAATCAATGAATTCATAACATGTAATGATAGCTCAAAAAAATGTTTAAAATAAGTCATCAATGTGATCTTACTAAAAACTGATAAAGCTGAAGCCTGAAGCATGCCTGAAATGTGGTGTTGGCAAAATACACAGAGCGTTTCAACCTAAGAAAATGATGTCTGGTTACCAATAAACATGACAAAGCGGACTGGGGAAGCCCACGAGACTTCAGCCCTAAAGAACTACAGATGTGAGACAGTTGTTTAGCTGGAACTGTTTAGGGGACCCCCTGGCGGTAGGATCAGGATCCGTCCCTGGTGCGTCAGTGGGCTTTTTGGAGCCCAGTGCCTGTGGTGGGACACCTTACACAGCCTTGGTGCAGGAGGAGGAGCTTGGACCAGCCTCCACTGAATGTGCCAGGTTCTGCTGACTCCTCATGGGAGGCCTTGCCTTGGAGGAGGTGGGACTGGGAAGTGGGCTGGGGGGGGGGGGGCTGGGGGGCAGGAGGAGGGAGGAGAGGGGAATCCATGGTTGGTATGTCAATAAATAGAAAATTTCTTAATAAAAACAAAAGAAAAACACAAAATGAAAAAAATAAAAAAAATAAAGAGACTGACATTTTTATTGAAGAAAAAAAAAGAACTATAGTCAAATAAGGATTGCTGAGAGTGGGAGAGATAATGTTCCCCAGGGAAGCCCACCAACTGATTACCCAACACCAAAGTGTCAACCATGAAAGCATACATACGAGTGACATTATATAGACCGAGCAGATTATATTTAGGAATGCATATGTAGATAAATGTACATATATGTATGTAGCAATTAATGAAGAAGGCGCCATGGATTTGAAAGAGAGTAAAAAGGGGTACATGGAAGGGTGGGGAGGGAGAAATGCTAAATTATAATCTCAAAAATAAAAGAAAAAATTTTAAGAAGAAAATGTCATCTGGCAGTAGACATCCCTCAAGAATCCAACAGGAAAATTAAAGAAGGCAAAGAAAGAAAAGGACCACTCTTCTAAAGGATAATCCAATACCTACTTTCCAACGCCTGATCAGGTACACTTACCTTAGCAATTATTTCTAATACCAAAATGATTTTGAAACGAACATGGGGTATATACTGTCAGAATGGAGAAGGAAACAAGACAACCTCTCTGCCTCATGCACTGTAGTTTAATTTGTTCTGGCATTTCACTTGTATTTCATTGACAGTTTCTAAATTCTCTTGCCTAAGTACAGGTCCCCAGTATCTATCAGGAAAGGAAACAAAGAAACACATTAATTGAGTAAATTATTATTTTATTTTACTTGTGTGTCGTAATATGCCAAAATACTAGAAGTGGATGAACCCTGTAGTTCCCCCACAGAGTCCGTACTCTTTATCAAAAAAAAAAAAAAAAAAAGGAAGGAAAGAAAAAGGAGGGGAAAGAAGGCAATTTTTCCCCTCAGTGCAGAAAAAAAACGTTCCTGGTACTGATGGACTTTCAAGGGAAATCAGGGGAGAACTGAGCTGGAGCTGACCGGCCTCAAATTAGGCTGCCAATGCGCCTGAGGTCGGAGGGCCTCTAAAGCAGGTGTATGAATCTCACGGTCTGTCAACCCGAGCACTGCCTGATGGGGCCGTATCCCCCCTTGATCATCTCAGGGAGAAGAAAACCTGCCAAAGAAGATGATGCTATCGGACTCTCTGTGCCTGATGAAGAACAAGAACGGGTGATTACAGTGCACAAGTTCGCAGCCTGCGGCTGACGAGACCATGAAGCCCATGCCAGTGCCCGCAGCGGCCTCAACTCCGTCCTCGGCCACCACCATGAAGGATCTGTGCAGGAACTTCTGGACGTGCAGCCCGGAGCGTGCAGACATGCCTGAGTAGTCCCCACACTCGCTGAAGGCGGTGCGCATGCCCATAGCTTCCAGCATGGGCTCCAGCTCGTAGCTCTCCTCCACCTGCATGCGGGGCAGACGCAGGTCCACTCTTCTTTGCTCCAGGTGTCCGGGGCTGGTCCACTCTACCAACTTCTCAGGAGACAGTTTATCGATTATCTACAGTTTTAAGGGAAATCCGGGAACATTTTAAAAGCTCACACTGGCTCCAGCGAGTCAGAAAAATTATTACTTTTAATAACAAATGCAGAATTTCCATTTCAGTCTGTTGTCTACATAAAAGACTGGTGTCTTATATTCTCTAGTTTATTTTCCTCTGTTATATTATCTGTATATAGCAAGAAGTGGATTTTTCAAACTAAAAACAAGACATTTCAAATTCTACATTTCAATTCCTGCTCTCTTCTAGTTTCTATATATGTATAAATATATGTATTCACAGTGGATATCTATTTTATATGTATTTAACTTTACACCAAGTGTCTCTCATAAACTGATAAAGTTAGATAACACTTGAGTCAAGTTGCTATGTGTTATGTAACAGTCAACATTATCCATTCCCCTTGCAGACATCAAATATGTATGAAGCATTCTAATATATGCTGATAAATTCTGCAAATAGAAATTAACAATTACTATGAATTTCAAACTAGGCACCCTACTGTAGTCAATGTTGGAACTGCTGATTTGACCAAGGAAGTCAATTTTCTCCTTCTGAATCACTTCGTTTCAGTGACGTCCAGAAAGAGGTTTTTGTATCAGGGTGTGTGTGTGTGTGTGTGTGTGTGTGTGTGTGTGTGTGTGTGTGTGTGTGTGTGATGTTCCAATACATGTTTCATATTGTTCCAAAATATTTCCAATTTATAATTTTACTGAGTGCCTTCTATGCCCTCCACATATACTAGGCTGCACTTCCCTAGTCACAGGAAAATGCCATGTATCAAGTCTCACAGAGGTCAATTTCACAGATGAGAATGTTGAGGAACAAGGAAGTTGGGAGGATTTATTGTTGAGAAACTACTTAAAGAATATGTATTTGAAGCTACACATTCCTGGTGTCCAGAACACAAAACACTAGCCTCATCATTTTGACAAGAAAGTGGGTGGGCCTAAGTAAAGAATGATGATCAAAAGAAGAAAAGCAAAATTGAAGGGCTTTGCTGAATTGCATGCAAAAGCTTTGTACACATGCATACATGATTTTCCAAGCAAATAGTTCATAGACATTAATGACTCCTCAGAATGGTAGGGACTCTTTTGAACCATCCCCATACAACTTAAAATATTCATTTAGCTCATCTCACCACAACTGTGTTCCAGTTATTCTCAACAAGTCTATTTCTCAATGGAGATCAGCTGGTAACCACTGCAGAGTGAGAAATACTCCTCAAGTGGCACAGCCAGGCATCAAATTCTGTTCAGAAGCCCTGTTCCCAGGCTCCTCAGGTACAAGGGATGCAATACGGAGTGTTAAAAACGGTATCGGCCAGGAGATGCCAAGGTTTACCTTCTCCAGACCGTCTACATCATTGGGCAGAAGCACAAACATGCTGAGATCGTTGTTTTTATACGGAATCCCCACAATTTTGGCCTGCAGGTCCTCTAAGAGGGCAAAGCTGCAGGAGCTGCACTGGCTCATCATCTGCACAGGTTTACTTGTGTTCTACAACAAATAGAGACAAAAACATGAAGACCAAAATCACACGGCACCCAAGTAGCCCGTGAAAATAATACAACCTCAAGTGGTGCCGGAGCCCTGAGTTACTGAACAAGCATTTTGCCAAATGACTTTAGACTGCACATGTCAGACGTAAGCTGACCATGTAGATAAAGGACCATACCTTATTCAGCCAGAACTCCTCCTCCTTGGTATGTTCTTTCTCAAACTCCCTGTCCCACAAGCCTTTAAAATAAACTGTATTAATGAGCACCAGCTTGGTGGAGCTGTTAAAAGAGTCTTCTGGAAACAGGTTCTTGACTTTTTCTGAAAACAGAAGAACAGAAAAGATTGGTCTGTCTTGCAAATCACAAACTATGTGCATGGCAGGTATGGATTCAGGTGGCCTTGGATAAGCATTAACACTGCAGCCAAGTCAACACCTTGTTAACCCTTGAGGAGCCTTGTTCACCAAGGATTTGCTGGCAGAGTCAGCAGGGAAATTCTCAGATTGTCTGTTACCATGCCGTTGTATTTATTATCAACTAAGGAATCTTAGGCAACTTATCTACACTATGTGTGCCTCCGTTTCCACATTTATAAAATAGAAATATAACATACCTCATGGGTTTGTTGAAATGAATAAGTGGTTTAATATGTATGTACCTGTAATCACTACCTGGCATGTCTTAAGCACTCTTTTTTAGCTATTATTCTTATCTATCCAACAGAGTCCTCACCTGTGATTCAGAAATTATTTATAAGAAACAGAATTTAAAGTGCATATATGAGAGGGGGTGCTCACCTGTGCACCCCAAAGTCTGACATCAAATCATCTTCCTCAATCACACTCCACCTTGACAAAGATATTCCCTGAACCAGGAACTCACCAGTTCAAGCATGCTAGCTGGCCAGCAAGTATCCACCTCTCTCTACCCTGTGACACCCCACCTCCAAGTGCTAGTTACATACACACACCACTGTGCTCAGCGCTTACATAGGCTCTGGGGATCTGAACTCTGGTATTCATGTTGCTCAGGGATCTCCTCTGTCCCAGAAACTTGCATTTTTAATTCTTGTTCAGTTCACACTACACTAAATACTGAAAAATTCTGTTCAGCCAACCTTTCAAAATACCCTTGTTTTCTGGTTGTTTTATTTCTTTCTGTAGATAAAATACAAATATTCACTGTCACAGCAAATTTCATTAATAGTGGTAATAGAAAACAGTAGATGTTACCTATTTCTCCCCAAAGAGTATTTCCATCTTAATATTTCTCTAATACTTGTAATACAATTTACTTGTCATAGAAAATGATAAGAGAAGAATGGGGAGGTAGTCCTCAAATCTTTACTGTGGAAGTCTCTGAAGATTTACTCATCCCTACAAGAATGGGGAGATAGTCCTCGAATCTTTACTGTGGAAGTCTCTGAAGATTTCCTCATCCCTACAAGAGTGGGGAGATAGTCCTCAAATCTTTACTGTGGAAGTCTCTGAAGATTACTCATCCCTACAAGAATGGGGAGATAGTCCTCGAATCTTTACTGTGGAAGTCTCTGAAGATTTCCTCATCCCTACAAGAATGGGGAGATAGCCCTCGAATCTTTACTGTGGAAGTCTCTGAAGATTTCCTCATCCCTACAAGAATGGGGAGATAGTCCTCAAATCTTTACTGTGGAAGTCTCTGAAGATTTCCTCATCCCTACAAGAATGGGGAGATAGTCCTCGAATCTTTACTGTGGAAGTCTCTGAAGATTTCCTCATCTCTACAAGAATGGGGAGATAGTCCTCGAATCTTTACTGTGGAAGTCTCTGAAGATTTCATCATCCCTACAAGAGTGGGGAGATAGTCCTCGAATCTTTACTGTGGAAGTCTCTGAAGATTTACTCATCCCTACAAGATGCTCAGGTGGGAAAGAAGCCTGGGTGACCCTAGCTGTAGGCAGCAGGCAGGTCTTGGTGGAAGAGCTGTGTGTGCCTCACCTAACAGAGTGGAAACTCGTTATGCCATTTGCATCTGGGGCTCCAGACTCAGAGAGAAAGTCTATTATACAAAGAATAAGCTAAAGACAAGCATGATACCAGCCCTGGAACTGCAAAGGTAGTGTGATTCACAGCCTGTGCAAACAATTCCCCATCATGGCTTCTCTGCACAGATGCTAAGGCCATCCCATCCCCTGCAGTACCCTCTCCAACTTTATGCCTAATCTTGCCTGTACCCATCTTTAGCTCTTCCCAAAGCTCATCCACCTGGCATCTATGCAGCCTCGAGCCCAAGGCTTTGGTCATAGCTGGTAGTCAAGAAATGCTTTTTGGTGAAAAACCCATCCATACTCTACCATTTGTTTGGCTTTCAACCCAGGAATTAATCTTCTTTCGACTCTCATCTGCAGCATTTACAAAATCAACAGGCTCCAGAGATGCATGGTAATATTTTTCAACATAATCTATGTATTTCTTTAGGAGAGATAAGGAAGAAATAGAAAGAGATTGAGGAACTTATGTATCAAATACAAACACCTCTTAATAAATGTGTCTGTTCATTAGGAAAGCCAATGTCAAAATTTGAATTTTTAGGTCCTGGGAAAATGGTTCTCACTCCACTGTCATCAGGTGCAACGCAATCAAAGCAGAAGCTGGGGATAGGCTCCCTGGACTCAAAGAGGAGCTGCATGTCTGGAGAGCAGGCCAGAGAGACTGGTAAAACAGGGCTGTGGCAAGCAGCCAGCTTAGCAGCATGGCCCCAGGACTCAGTCCTAAAAGGGGTATTGGCTACTTGTTACTACCACACACGGGTGTGGCAGACACAGCAGAACTTACTTGAAGGAAGAGGTATGTTTTCTCTCCAAACAGCCTGTTGCTTATTTTCAGTTCATTATCATTAGGGAATTTGCTTATTTCAGTCAAAAGCTTTTGGAATTGATTATATATTTCTTCTGTCTTCTCAATCTTCAAAATCAAGACAAAAACTCAGTGAGTTATCTTGGCAAAAGCAAGCCTAAGTTCCCTTCCAAAAGGATGTAGTTAGGGTCCCTCTAATGAGCAAATTTGAGAGAAAAATAGAAATGTCCATTGGTCCTGGATGTCATCTGGCTTTCTACAAACCCAGATACAAGTCATACCCAATCTGAGCTTCACAAAGAAATCTCCAACAGCCGCAGTACCACAGATCTTTCTTTTCTGATCCAGCTATCGATTTGGGTCTCAATGTAACTGCTCACTAAGACTAAGTGTTTCACAATTTGGTTTTTATCCACCCACAGACTCTAAACATTTGAGAAATGTAAATGATCCCACAGATAATTCCCCTCCACTAACACTTGGATATTTCTCTTTCAAATGGTGGAAAATAAAAGTGACTCTTCACGGAGTAAGCAATTTATCAGAACTGCAAATTGAACTAAAGTGATATTTGTCACTGTTTTTGAAAAGAAGATCAAAATCTTCTGGGTATGTTCTGTGGGGTACACCAGTTTTCTGGTTGTGTGCTGTGGACATTGTGTGGCAAAGCTGAGTGAGCAAGAACACTTCATTAGAACAGAGCAGAACATTGTCTCGTGATCTGGTGGGTGGGCTCCAGTTTTTTAATTCACAGAGGATGCAGAGAGAAGCAATTTAGTTTTGAAGTGAGTGGTCTATTCCTGATTCCACATGAGAACTGAAAAGCCATTTTCTTGTACAATGTGATGTCTAAATGTTTATTTAATTCTCTATTGTGCCTCTTATTTTCATTTATCATGTCTCAACTGCCTACCACAGTACCAGAAAAAATAATAGACAGCTAACTTTTGCAAATAATTAATGACTATTTGAAGACATGGATTGAATTGAATTGAATTGAATTGAAAGTGTACATCCTCACTGTTCTGGCAGTATCTATGGAGATGACCTTTGCTGCCTCCTTGCTGTTAGGAGACTTTAAGTGGCTAGCAATGAGTTTCTGACTGCTTGGGTTGGTAGGGGCATGCAGTGAACAGGTCAGATGCATCACACCCTTTGGCAATTAAGAGTTTAATGTGCATTAATTTCCTAGTGAGTCATTTGTGACTAAGATGATCTACAAATAATGGAAAAGAAGAAAACCCTGTTTTCAAACAGGTTTGGGGTTTTAGTTTATACTATCTTGGTAATGGCCTGGAGTTGGTAAAATCCCAAGATCCTATTCCAGAAGTAAAAAGGTATCTTCATCACAAAACTGACTACATTACAAGCTTCACTGTGTCCTTAAGGTCATCAATACACCACAGGCTTCACTGTATCCCCAAGATCATCAACCAAGTACAAGATCATGTTCCAAAATTATACATTGTGAACAAATAAGCCCCCAATCAAACTCATGGGAACATAGCAAACAGCCACAACACATACACAAATATTTAGATATTCACATCAGCTCTCCCATGCAGGAAAATGTTTCTGGAGAATGTCTATCCTTAAAAACATGTTTAAATTACATCATCTTCAACAAATGGTACTAGTAAAAACTGGATGACTGCATGTAAAAGAATGCAAATAGATCCATATCTATTACCCTGCACAAAAATCAAGTCCAAGTGGATCAAAAACCTCAAGATAAATCCAGATATGCTGAATGGAATAGAAGAGAAAGTGGGAAATAGCCTTGAACACGTTGGTACAGAAGAAAACTTCCTGAAGAGAACACCAATAAAAAAAGCACTAAAATAAGCAATAAATGGAATCTCATGAAACTGAAAAGCTTCTGTAAGGCAAAGGACACCATCAATCGGACAAAATGGCAGCCTATAGAATGAGAAGAGATTTTCACCAACTCCACATCCAATAGAGGGTCAATATACAAAGTATATGAAGAACGTAAGAAACTAGATATCAGCAAACCAAATAATCCAATTAAAAACTGTAAGGTCTAGCCCTTACCCTTTAGAGGAGGGATGGAGGGTGGGTTGAGAAGCTGCGGGGCAGGCAGTGGGAGGAGGGATGGGAGGGGGATCTGTGGTTGATATGTAGAATGAATGGGGAAAATATTCTTAAATAAAAAGAATTGTAAGGTCTAAATAGAGAAGGGAAACACTCTTCCATTGTTGGTGGGAGTAGAAACTTGTACAGACACTATGGAAATCAATAAAGTGGTTCCTCAGAAAATTGGGAATTGATCTAACTCAAGACTCAGCTATACCACTCTTGGGTATATACCCAAGGAATACTCAATACCACAAGGACACATGCTCAACTATGTTCATATCAGCACTATTCATAATAGCAAGAACCTGGAAACAACTTAGATGTCTCTCAACTGAAACATGGATAAAGAAAACAAAATACATTTACACAATAAAGTATTTCTCAGCTGTTTTTAAAATGACATTATGAAATTTGCATGCAAATGGATGTAACTAGAAAAATTCACCCCAAGTGAGGTAACCTAGATCCAGAAAGATAAATATGGCATGTATTCACTTATATGTGAATATTAGTCATTAAATAAAGGATAAACAACCTACAGTCCTCTATCTACTCCATAGACTGAGAGAGGTTAGGTACAGAAGAAAAGGATCGGGGGGACACATGGATCTCCCTGAGAGGGAAAAATAGAACAGATGTTACAAGTAGACTGGGGATGGGTGTGGACAGGAACAGGAGGATCAGGTGGAGATGGGAGAGATAGGGTTGTGGGAGGGAATGCAGGGAGAGACAGATCTAATTGAGGAGCATTTGAGGGATAATATGGGAACCTATTACAGTAGAAACTGGCCGTATCGTGTCACCAAACAAGGCTTCCAGTAGCAGGCCTGGGCTGCATTCAGTTTAGTTCTTGGCTAAGGGCATCCTATGGAAATACCCAAACAACACAGACTGTTGCCAAGACAATGGAGTGCTCTCTGCAAACTGACATTGGGCCCAATTGCCAAGGACAACAACCACACAAATCATTGAATGTGGAGAAGTCAAGCTGGTGCCTATATGGAAACTTCACCCCTGCATTCTAGTGTCCTTAGTGTGGGAAGAAACTCTGCAGGCTACCAAAAAGAGAAACATAAATACCAACTCAACCACAAAACCTTTGGCCTACATACAATCTCTACTGCCTGTAAGATATGCTAGGGCAATGGAGACACAGAACTTGTAGAAGAACCCAACCCATGTCTGATTTGACTTAAGGCCCACTCACAAAATAGACCCATAGTTGACACTTGGGTGACCAAGAATCAGAGACAAGATAGCCCAGAGACCTAGGGTAAAGCCAAATACTACTGATCTAAAAGAGGAACAATAAAATGACTCCTAATAGCATTCTGCTGTACTCATAGATCAGTGCCATATTCATTATCAGAGAAGCTTCTCTGTAGCAGATGGGAACATATGTAGAGACCCTTGGCTGGCCATTATGCAGAGAGAGAGTCTTTGAAACACTCAGCTCTAAATGGGAAGTCTCTATCCAATCCCTCCTCTAAGAGCTTAGACAACCCTAGGAAGAGGAGATGGAAAGAGTATAAGAGGCAGAGAGGATGGAGGACAACAGGAGAACAAGGCCCTCTGAATCAACTGAGCAAGGCTCATACAATCTCACAGAGACTGAAAAGCAAATTCAGAGCCAACATAGGTCTACACCAGGTCCTCTGCATATATATATTATGGCTTTCAGTTCAATTTAGTATTTTTATGGGACTCCTGGGTGCTGTGGGATGTCATTCTGTGTGCTGTGAATATGTGTTGCTCTGACTTGTTGATAAATAAAATGCTGATTGGCCAGTAGCCAGGTGGGAAGTATAGGTGGGGGGCGGGGAGCAGCCTAGCAGAATACTAGAAAAAGGAAAAAAGTCAGGAGTCGCCAGCCAGACACAAAGCAAGCAAGATGACAAGGTAGAACTGAGAAAAGGTGCCAAGCCACGTGGCTAAACTTAGATAAGAAATATGGGTTAATTTTAAGTGTAAGAGCTAGTCAGTAATAAGTCTGAGCTAATGGCCATACAGTTCATAATTAATATAAGCCCCTGTGTGTTTATTTGGGTCTGAGTGCCTGCGGAACAGGCGGGACACAGGAAAACTTCTGAGTACACCGGGGTGTGTGAACAATGGGTCTCTGACTCTTGTGCCTTCTCTCGGGACACTCTCCTTCTGTTGGTTTGCTGTGTTACTGTGTTTTATGTTGTTACATTTTGTTATTATCTCTTAGCCTGTTTTCTCTAGTAAGACACAGAAGGAGATGGACCCAGATGGAAGGGTAGATGTAGAGGAACTTAGAAGAGTAGAGGGAGGGGAACTAATCAAGATATATTGTATGAGAAAATAATCTATTTTCAATAAAAGGGAGAAGAAAGAAAGCATGTTTAAGAAACAAATGCTTGTCTATATTTTTCAGCTTAGATTAACTAATGCTCCTATAAATGAATATTTGATTAGCATTTAAATTAAAGTCCACTGCATGGTTAGACAGCTTGCCGGTGCTGTTTGTTAATGCTGAGTTAGTCACCTGAAGATTACTCTAAACAACTGCCTCTGAACTCCAAAGACAAAAAAGGATGAAAATATCCCTGACATTAAGAAATCTTGGCAATAGAATAGTTCTGGCATTTTTAAAAAAGGCAACTGAAGAGAAAATGGGGATGTTATGTTACTCAAAAATTTAATGACTGAGAATTTTTACAAATAATGAAAAGTATAAGTTCTTTTAATAAAAAAAATTTAATTAGTCATGAATGCTGGGTTTTGAGGAGAAAAAATAGTTAAATTAGATAAAGAAAACTGAAATCCTTTTTGAGCTTATCAACAGAATATTAGAAATTATGGTGCAGAACCATTTTTATGTCTTATTTTATGTCAAAAACTTATGAGAGGATTGCAAGGTGGTTCCAGAGAAGGCGCTTGCCACCAACAAACCTGACAACAGGAGTTCAGTCTCTGGGACGCACACAGCGGGAAAAGATAAATGACTCCTGAAAGTGTGCACGAAATGTGTGAGTTTTTATTTAGAAATTATAGCTAATCAAAGTTATAGTAAATAAAAGAAATCCATAATTAGACAAATAGTGGTGAAATTTTTAAATGTAAAAAATAGTGATAGCTCACTACCAAGGATGCCAACTAAACCAGTTGGCCAATAGTAATATTAGAATATGAGACAATAATCTTCCAATGACTACCAAAAAATATAGACCGAGAATTCTATACACAGCTATATAGTCATTCAAACATAGCAGAGTTCACACAGTGTGACAAAATCCACTACATGTAAAGTGTTACTAAGGAAACCACCAAGGACACCTGAAATATGGCAGGATAGGCAGTCCAAGTCTCCCCACAAAGAGACTTCATGGTAACAAAGCCACCTTGGGAAATTTTCCAAACCAGTTCAAAGGTCCCTGTAGCCCTTAAGTGAGTGTAAAGCAGAGTGCCCTGAAACCAGCAGAGAAATCCTTGGAACTCACTCACCACAGCACCTTCCAACAGCACAGCATGGAGACTACAGAGGTGAGCCTGCTCCTGACGAGGCCCCAGGGAGAAGAGAGAAAGAAAAGAGTGAAGTATTTCCAGCATTCTGACTTCTGGGGACCAACAGGAGGGACCCAAACAAGGGACCTGTACACTGAACCGTGCAGTGGTGCTCAAAGTAGACACAAGAAATGCCTGTGTAGCAGCTCACAATCTCCAGCTCCATCCCACACACAAGCTCCTCGAAGACCATGCCCAGAAAAGTGTTTTTGTATACTTGGTGGTTTAGCAGATTCTGTGTACTCCAACAATTTTATTGAAATGTATATCCCAGGCTTGGCATTGTGGTGCACGTCTTTAATCACAGCACTCAGAAGGCAGAAGCAGGCAGATCTCTGTGAATTCAAAGCCAGCATGTCTACATAGGAAGTTCCAGGTCAACTAGGAATATATAGTGAGACCCTGTCTCAACAAAAGAACAGAAAGAAGGAAGGGAGAGAGGGAGGGAGGGGAAGGAAAGAAGGGAGGAAAGACACAGAGCTAGTTTCCTTTTCATCGGGGCCTCTGAGAAAGTCTTGATCAGCCTGGCTCTCAACAAGTACAGACCTTCAGAAACTCAAAGATCTCCATCCAAGACAAAGCTACAAAGACCTCTGGAGCCACACACCATAACCAAACTGTCCAAAGTCACACAAACGGAGTCTAGAGAGCAACCAAACGATTGTTACATACAAGGGAGCATCTATTAGAGTGACAGATTTCTCAGGGAAAAAAAACTGTTATGAAGGGATTGGTATGCTATTTAAAATGTACTGGAAGAAAAGAAGAATACACCAAGAATACTATATCCAGTAAAGCTTCCTGTCAAAAGCAAAGGAGAAATTAATACTTTTCCAGTTAAATAAAAGGGGAGGACCTGTTAAGAAGTGCTTAATGGAGCCTTTCAAGTTGAAATGAAAAGATGATAAGTAACTATAGAAAATGTGAAAATATAAAACTGTCTTATAACAGGAAATATATAGAAAACATAAAATCCTGTAGTAAATAAATCACTTTTCAATCTGGTAGGGAATTTTTAAGCATAAAAACTAATTATGAATATATGATCTAAAAAAGAGGTTAAGCTGTGTTGTTGGTACATAAAGGGAAGGCAGACATAAGGAGTAGAGCATTAGACGTTAGGTGTTCATCAATTTCAAATACCAGACTATATTAAAGTTAAAATGTTCTGTCCATAGACTAGACACGAAGGGAAATGAGAAAGGAGTCAAAACAACTCTTTTTTTTGGGGGGGGTGTTTTTGAGACAGGGTTTCTCCATGTAGTTTTGGTGCCTGTCCTGGAACTCACTTTGGAGACTAGGCTGGCCTCAAACTCACAGAGATCTGCCTGGCTCTGCCTCCTGAGTGCTGGGATTAAAGGCATGTGCCACCACCACCTGGCTTCAAAACAACTCTTTAATAAGAAATCCACTAAGCAGTTCAAGGAGGAGAGGGGAATCTATGGTTGGTATGTAAAATGAATAGAAAATCTCTTAATAATAATTTTAAAAAGAAAAGAAAAAAGAAATCCACTAAGTAAATAAAAACCTAAATCACATTTTTAAAAAGGGGGAAAAAGCAATGGCCAAAATAGTTTTAACCCAAATTCTAACCAATAAATTGATGTTTTCTGAATTAAATGCATCCATAATTTAAAAATCACTGTTCAAAGTACAGAGAATATGTGTTCAGTCATAAATGGGACCCAGGGACCATCACGGAAGATTTTAAAAGCAAGAGGTTGGGAAGGACCATGACAAACGTGTCTTCAGGACATGGCAGGACCTCTGTACTCATGAACTCACAACAGCTGTGGTTGCCTGCACAAGACCCACTCAAGGTTGCGCCAGTCAGGGTTCGAGCAGAGAGATGGGAGAGGCTCAGGAGGCCAACCTCTGGCTCAGAAGCGGTTGGCAGTTGATGGGTTCTAGGGAAGGAAGAGTTGGCTTTCTCTAAAGTCACACTGATCCAGTGGATGGCACCACACTCAGGAGTGTGTGGGCGGCACAAACTGGACTCTATGACTTGTTTAAATTTATTTAAAAGGACGTGAATGTTGGGGGGGAACTAAGAGGTGGGGTAATCTAAGAGGACTTGGGGAGGGGAGGATGAATGTGAGCAAACACACTGTATACATATGTGAAACTTTTGAAGAACTGATAAAATATTATATGTTTAAAACATGTAATAAGCTCATTTTAAGAGTCTAGTGTTATTTTGATACTAAAAACTGGACAAAAAATGTTCAAGAAAAACATTTTTGACATCATTTATATCATTTTTAAAACTAACAAAATATTAGTAAACCAAATGTGTTTAATTTTGAAATATCATGACTAAGTATATTATTGCACAAATAAAAGATTTACCACTAGAAATTCTACTAATTAAACCCATTCCAATGACATAGAAAAGTCATATGTTCACCAGTAGAAACAAAAAAAAAAAAAAAAAGCAGACAGAGTACATAGACTCACAGATGCCCAAGGGCTGTAAGGCTATGGGATTTTAAGCCTTAGTGTTTCTGGACAGTTGCATGAAATTATGAAATGAACCTATAATCACTATTAATAATGATAAGTGTCGATACAGTCCTTTTAGAGAACAACTTGGTAATAATTAATTTTTATTAACATTTGTACACAGATGTGAACCTCACATGTAATACAAGCTCCCTAGTAATTACATTTGAAAGGTTACAAAAGCAGGTAAGTAACTAAAGAATATGTCACACGTTCACAGACACACAATTGGACACTACTCAGCCATTGAAAAATCTTGTCCTTTGAGATGACATGAAATAACTAGGAGAATTCTATGTTACATGAAATAAGCAAGGCATAAAAAAGCACACATTCCACCTTGTCCCACTCATGTGGAGAACCTAAAATTGCTGTTTGTACAGAAGCAGAGAATAAAATGCTGTTTCCCAGAGGTGGGGTATGTAGGAGGAAAGAACCCAAGGGGGAAATGCTGGTCAAAGGATGTGTGTTTATACTCAGACAGAAGGGATATTTTTAAGTAGTGTCTAGTATAGACAGACAGTCGGTAAGAACTTTCTAGGGCCTGAGGGTGAAGGAGAAATGTTAAGTGGAGGCAGGGAAAAGGGACATGGGGATGAGTACCGATGGCTGTGGAGATCCCTTTTATGGTGACAAAAATGATCTAAATGTGATTATGATGGTCACACAATTTTGGTTTCTTACTAAGAACCCCTGAATTATACAACTGAAATAGGTAAATTTCAGAATACATGAATTATAGTTCAATAAATCTGTTTTCAAACAAATCAAAATAAAGAAAAATTAATTTTAAAAATATATTACCTAATCCAAAATACCTAGAATGTCATTTCAGTATATAAATACAAGAAAAATCTTATGTTCATATATGCTAGATACCATATTGTTTCAACATACAACACATAGAATTAATGATTTCTATATGAATATTTCATACTATGCCCCTGAAATATAGTAAATATTGAGCATATCTCAAGTCAAGTCAGATGCATTTTAAGTGCTCGCCTGACTGAACACCACCCACAACCCAGGCAAACCAGAAGACTTGTGTAAAAGGATAATTTACACATTATTTGCGATAAGAAGGAAAGAAGGAAGGAAGGCCCATTAACACAACAAATAAATAAACAGCTGTAAAATTGCACCCACTAGGACTATAATATTGGTCCAAAACTAACTGCATTGCAAAGGATGATGGCAAAAGACGCCATTTGTAGCAAAATAAGAAGTACATTGAGATAATGAATTCTTAAGTCTGGAGAACAGAGCCTCCACTCTCAAGAGAGAAGGTTTATGTTCAGGGAAGTTAAGGAGTGCATCAAGGAATGGGAATGGATATTTTCCTCACACTAGGAGAGGTACTCATTACATTATTCCTTCTATCTTCCTACATAGTCTTGAGATTTTAGTATCACTTTGGAACAGAAAGGTTCAGAATACTCAAGTATCAAGCCTGTCACTGGACTTTGCTCGTCTGTTTATTCATTTATTAAGGATATTGGGCTAGCAGTCCTCTGGAATATGCTCCATCTCCAATATCCTTGTCTCAGTCAGTACCTCTACTCTGTATTTCTTCAGCTCCCAAAAACTCCTGGGGAAGGGACAGAACTGGTTCATGGTAGAAGAGGGCAAATTATACCTGCCCAAAGCTGAGAGGCAACTTCCCCCCAGTCATGAACCTCTCCACCCAGGATAAGGGCATCAGTCCCAGGTAAGATTCCTTGTGTAATCTTCAGGAAGGTTCTTCAGGGACTATTGTGCTAAAAAGGGTAAGCACTCTAGAAGTCACTACATGTCTCAGTTGAGTGTTCATGGGAGCAACCACCTGACCTAACTCAGTTAAAAATCTCCGAGAAGGAAACCCAAGTCCACAACTGAAACTGAGCCACCCAGATAACCTAGCATTGTGGGATTAGAAGTGAACAGCTCACAATGTTGGGAGTTTGAAAGCATGACTTTATGAGAAGTGTAGCTGGAGAATTTTTCTCCAGCTCCCACCGCCAAGTCCCGCCAGTCCCGGAGCCCACTTATAAAATAAACACACAGACTCTTACGTTATTTAAACTGCAGAAGTACTGGGTTGTGGTTACTGTCAGAGCAACTGTGCCATTCTGAGAGCCCTGATCACCTCTAGATGCTAACCCTGACCTAATGGACCCCATCCCACCCTGTATTTGGTAAGACCAAGCAAGAGATACCATAAAGCTAGATCTGGAAGATGACCAATGCTCCTGTGCTGATAGTATTTAAGGAAATATTAGCAGGAGGGGCAAGATATTAATTCAGTTTAGCAATAATATTGTTCACTGCTCCCACCAGTACTAGGTGAGTTAAATGTATGATCTAGATGATTCTATCCGAAATGTCACAAAGGACTAAAGAAAGCAAATTACTTGCCAAAGTCCCATAGTCCTGACCTGCCCAGGCCAAAACTTAACCCAGTTCTCCGTAACTCCAAAGCTGTTATCAAAACCTTTTGGTGTGCCAGCATTCATAGTGACTTGTCTGTTAAAGTTGTGATCTCTTCTTGTTATTGAGAATTTACTATTTGTATACAGTCCAAATGCTGTGATTAGAGGTGGTTTTTCTCCCAGGAGTTTATGTTCTAAGAGTATAACCCCAGTATAACGATGTTAAGAGGTGGTGAGACACTTAAGGGACCTAGTAGGGAAGGTGATTAGGTCACCAAAGGCACTTCCCTCGGAGGAGATTAATGGTAATCTTCCAAAGTTAGTTCTTGTGAGAGTACATTTTACAAAGCAAGACCAGCCCACAAGCTTTACCTCTTCTGTGTGTCACCAGTGTTCACCCCCTTAATCCTCTACATTATAATGCATTCTAGAAGACTCTCTATGGAAACCAAACACATAAAGACAATCTGGGACTCTCAACCTCCAAAACGATATGCTTAATAAGTAGGCTCTTATTTATAAAGCTTTCAGACTCCAGTACTTTGTTATAGCAGCAGAACATGAACTAATATGCCTAGAAACATTATTTGGCTCCAGTGACTACTGCCTGATAGTAAATGAGGTGTGTTACCCACTCCTGATAGTAAATGATGTGTATTACCCCCTCCTGATAGTAGATGAGGTGTATTACCCACTCCTGAGAGTAGATGAGGTGTATTACCCCTTATGCTTTCCCTAGGACTCCTCTACATCGATCCTACACCTAAAATGTAATCACACTAAAGGATGTAAAATGTGACCCACCTCCTTTTCTGCAGACTTTATTCTGAAACTTCCTGTGCCTTTTTCAGAGAAAAGTACCTGGTAGAGAGAAAACATTGTCATTATTGTTAGAATAGAGATAAATTTCCCATAGTCAAGGGAAGGCTGGCACTAAAGTCTTTTCAAGGGTATACAGGCAACATCATCTCCTTGACAAACCAGGGAAATGTCTAGTTTGCTCACTGATATCTTCAGAGGAATCTAGTCATGGACTCACTTAGGTCTTCAAAGATCTTCGATATGTCAGGTAGACCAAATAGAAATTACATTGCTGATGAGAGAGGCTTTGGTCTTTCATAGTCTATCTTTAACTATGAGAATAATGACTTTTGACAAGGCTACTCATCACACTCCCACTCAAAGGAATTCCAAGCATCAAAGAGAAAATAGTACTGTGGTATCTAGAGGGGGAAGAGGCCTTCCCTGACAGACCTGAAATTACTCCACATCTTCATCATCTGTTTTCTTGCCAGGTCAAGATGAGCACATTTTCAACACTAGAGGCTTAAACCCCTGACAAGCAAAGAAAGCTCCCCACCTTCTGTAACTCAGAGGCAGTGGCTCCTCGGCTCCCCAGGAGGATCATGCCAATGGCTGTTGAGATGCCCACGGGGGAAAAGAAGACGTTGCCATCGTTTCTTTTATCCAGCTCTTTGAAAAGATCAAACCCAAACTGTGCGGTTGCTGTGCCTAGTGAGTCCATGATGGTTTCCAAGCTATCTAAAACAGCAATAACAATCAACATATCATCTGGACTGGCTGCTTGATGCTGTGGTCACACCTTCTTTCATTTACCCAGAACACTGAGACTTTGGACCCTCTCAGAACAGCAGCCTGGCCCCTGCCTCTGCTCCCACAGCAGGAGACATTAGTCAGCTGGAGGTCTAGCTTCATCCAGTAGTTTTCAGTTTTTGTCTCCCCAGGAGGTAGGGTAATGCCTTAATGGTTTTCTCCTCTTGTTTATCCTGTTTATCCGTAGTCAGAATCTGCTTCCCACCTCCACATCTTATAATAAGTTCTCTGAACAGACCCACCCTTGACCTGCTGGTGTGCAGCTCACACAGCTGCCCAGATTGTAGTAAGACAGAGTTCTCCAAGCACAGAAATCCTCACTGGCTTCACATTCAATTTGACATTTCGCATTTCTCAACAGATCCAAATCCAATCCAGAGTAACAGAACATATTAAGTCCCCTAACCCCTGATTCTTAACCTCACAAAAAGTATACGATGGACTGAATTTTCTCCTAAAGGGCAGTGGAGCATCCCAGACATGGATTATTAAGTGGGTGTAGTTTTTTTTCTTGTGCTTTTCTTTTTTTGCATTGTTTTAGGTTATTCAATGAGCTAATCTTACTGTTATTAATTAAAAAATAATTTTCAAAGAGCAGTTAATATTCACTGGAAATAAAGAAGTAGAGTACAATTATGCACTGTTTTCTTCAGCATTTATTTCACAGTCTTTGAAAGAAACCCAAAGCAAAGTAGAGTGAATAAACCTGACAGCCCTCATACTCTAAGTCTAATCCCTGCTATGAAATCCCACCAGCCCACATTTACTGTAAGAGGTTCAGCCTCAGTTTCTTTATAGGGAGTCCTTACTCAGAAATAAAAAGATTTAACTCACTATCAAACAAAATGGAAAAGTTAAACAGCGTTGACCATTTGGACCATGAAATAAATAAAATCACCTCAAAAAGAGTCTATGCTCAATAAAATATATTTATTTCAAGCATTGTTATTCTCAAAACACAGGCTCTTAGGCTGGATCTGAGGAATAACTTACCTGGCTCGTGAAGGTACAGAAGTGGCTGGACAAGCAACTAGGAGGCTATGTGAAGCTAGTAGCTGAGGTCCTTAATTTATAGCTCTCTCTGCCTCTCCCTCGTCATTACAGTTCGTCTTTCCAGTGAAACAGCCTTTGGTTTCTCAATGACAATTTCCCTAATAAAAATATCACACAAGGTTTATGAGAAAACTGACAGCTTAATTCCCTCTATTTTCCTTGTGGCCTTGAATTCATGTACTTAAAGTTATCAGCAACTGCCTTTTCAACTTTAACCCAAATAATGTATGCTTCAGATACACAGGAAGTGAGCTTCTTCAAGCTCCTTTGGACATTCTGATTAGAAACCAAGCATAAAGACATACAAATCCACCAGAGAACAAAACAAGATTGAAAGCAGATGTTCAGATCAGGACTACAGGATAGAATTGCAATGGCCAGGTCAAGGGAATTATGGCTGTGAGCCAGGGGACCAAGCCAGGAGAGGCCTTTCATCCTTAAATGATAGCAGGGAGGAAAGACTCTGTAGAGCAGCAGTTTTGTACCTTAGAAATACATCATATTCTTCTGAGGGACTTAAGCATCTCTGCCCCAGCCCTGACCTAGAAAGAGTAAGCCTCTCTGTGGTGAGAGCCAGCATTAAAGCTTTTAATCACCCGGGTGGTGGTTAGGATGGATTCACAGACAAGGCTGGGCACCATTTGTTTATGTAGCCTAATGAAGACACCAGTTAAAGCATGCTTTTTTTTACCACAGAACAACTGTGTTTGGCCCTGACAAGCCTATTTATTATTTTGTGGTGCCAAATGCAAATAAGATTAAAGAACATAATTATACAAGGTATGAACTAGAAAAAAAGAGGAAAAAACTGGGCAGGCAACTTCAAACTTTCAGGCATATGAATGCACTCAGGCACATACACACACACAAACACCACACAAACCACACACACACACACACACACACACACACACACACACACAAAACCATCGCTGTTCCCAAATAATTGTTCACTAATTAAGAAGAATCCCATCAGAATGCATTCAATAAACAATTATTGAGTCTACCATGCACCAGACACTGTGCTTAATGCTAAATACTTCATGAATATTCAACAACCCCATGTGGTTCAGGAAAACAATCTACGAAGTGGGGAAAGCTCGATAGGAAACTTCACCTCCAAAGTCCAGTTTTGCCAACCCTGGAACATCCCAACTGGCATTACCAGTTCATCAAAAGAATAAGAGAAACATTGAAGACTAGACTCAGCTTCAGTCTTAATCAAAGGTGTGAGGGTTTTTCATTGTTGCTGAGCAACTCATCCTGGGATGGCGATGTAGCTCCAGCAAACTTGAAGAAGGAAGGGCCTTCTGAGAGATGCATCCTTAAGGCATAGCTCATGTACAAACCCATCTCAATATTCACAGTTGACTTTTTTTGTTTCTTAAAAAAATTATTATGGCCTTTAAAGCAATTTCAAAGCAGTTTTTAATTAGCTTCTCCTTTTTAAATTGTCACTGGAAATATGCAAATTAGGTAAGGTTTAGAAAGACTCAACATTTAATTATAGTTAACCCTGACATCAGTCAAATGGAAATGTTAGGGGGCTTTAATTAGTTCTAGTTAACCCTAATGTCAATGATACAGTAACTTTACAGGTCTACAATACTATTTCATGCTTTAATATGCCTGTCCACTTTTATTCTGCAATCTTTTCTCTGTGGCCCACTGTGAAGATACTCCCAGCTGCCCTCTGCTCCTGTTAAGAAACATTTCCTCTGCTTCTCCAGGGGAACTTGGCTTCCCTTAGAGCAGCCATTTCCTGGTCTTCTCTGGGAATAGCCATTCATACCCAGTGACCATTATGGCTCCATCCCACTCTTGCTGCCCTCAAGCCACTCTCCCTTCATTTAACTTCAATGCACCCTTGGGGACCCTTTGACTATCTTGCTTGTACTACCCTTTCCCAAATAGTAGGTCTTTCTGGTCCCCTGCACTTGGCCTCTCTGTCCTTTCTAACGGCTCCCACCACTCCATGGTTTCTATGCATCTTCATGGCATCTCCCTGACCTTCTTGGCTCTCCTTTAGTGGCCCACTCACAGTCATACATTGACCATCACCATCAACAGGAACTGCTCCTATTGTAAACTAGTGGACACTGGAATGACTCCATCTGCTTACACATTTCCATTCCGTATTCCCAGTATTGTCATAATCCCCAATCGAGAGATTCTTTCCATTTCTTCTACTTTATCAGTCTCTTCTGTCTGGTTTCAGAATAGCCTCAGGAAAGAAAATGTTGGTGCCAGTGAGTAAAACGATGAAATAGGCAAGCCCTGAAGCAGGCTACCCTGGATTCTCTATCCTCTCCCATATCTCACTGCTCTGTTACAGAGTCTACTATTACTTATACTTACTTACATCATTGTTCTTCAAGTCTATAATGCTGTTCTAGAAGCTGCTGTGTCTCAACCAGATTCTTTTCCCAGCATGTACATCTGCCCTTTACTTGGGTCAGTGATTCTCATCTGAATGGAATCTATCTATCCAGCCATGGCTTCATAGAAAACAGATATAAAAAGATGGTTCCCATCCAATTCCTGATCACCATCTGAGGCTAGTGATATTCAGCCTTCATCTAAGATACTTATTTCAGGGGGTGGTGGTTAATGCAAGAACTTCTTAACTGTCAAAGTGCCGAGAATAAATGATTGTGGCATGCTTGACCCTAAATGAGGTGTCTATATCACTCCTTTCCAAGGCTCAGGGAACACTGGGCAGGGGAGGTAGAAATTAATGTAAGAGCCAGAGGATGGGGAGATATGCAGCAAAATGGTATCTTTTGGGCCTGCTATGGACATTGCAGCCATGAACTCACTGCAGTTGTGGTTCTCTACAAAAGCCCTTCACAAGATTGACCCCATCGACATGTCACCGTGAGTAGGAGAGAAATCTGAGACCTCACCTCTTCCTGAGAGACCATTGCTAGTTAGTGGTTAATGGGAGAAGAATGGCACAGCAACCAGTGCTCATGCTGTAGAAAACAGTCTGCCACCCTTGCTCACACAGCAGTTCTAGTTCAACTCAGTGGCTCACACACAAAAAGAAAACAGTCTCCCACCCTTGCTCACAGTGGTTCTAGTTCAACTCAGTGGCTCACACACAAAAGAAAACAGTTTCCCACCCATGCTCACACAGTGGGTCTACTTCAGTGGCTCACACACAAAAAGAAGACATGAAAACAGAGGGAGACTTGTGAAAAAGAAAGGTTTAGTGGGGGGAGGAATGAAGGAGAGAAATGGGGGTAAAATGACTAGAACCCATCACACCCATGTGTGAAACTGGATAACAAAGTTTACATGGGAATGAAAGTGCCTCATCCTCCTCATCAGGCTGGACTGTCATGTAATCTTCATTCTAGACTTGCCCTGTGGTATCAAAAAATCAAATCTCTAGTGGAAACATACTAACAATTAATGCTTCCCCTTGCCTCAACTTTCTTTTCTCAAAGCATCTCCTCCCTCTGAAAAAAATTGCAAGAACAAAAATAAGTATCTTTGGCTTTGCTTCTAATGTACTTGACCTAAGACAAATGCTTTTATACCTAGTCCAAACACCCCACTGCTTCTGCAAAATTTACAAAATTCTTCAGTGGTTCTTACATATATTTTCCTTTACATAAATTATTAATTCAACAAGACCTATAAAAATTTCTCTTTGGATATAGATTTGGGTTCTTTTAAATTAATATGTTGACTTTTTTTCACATTGTGCAAGGAGTTTATCAACTTTCATGTCCCTTGGAAGCACTTATAGGGAGACAGAAACATAGAGAAAGAAAAGAGTTTTCTCCTTGTGATCAGAACAAGGAAACTAAGGTGAAATATGACTCGAAAATTTTCTAAAATGTGAAAGAC